TCTTTCTATTTTCTGTCGCTAAAGCTTAATTCGAGTGTTTATTCTTGTTCCCTATCTAACAGTGTTTTTATAAACGGTTAACAAGTTTTGAGGCTGCATCCAAGGTTCCAAATTTCTGGGCAATCGAATAATTTTACAGATGACTTCGGCGATTCATAATATTTAATAATAATAATCACTTGTGATCCTGACATGAAAGCATGACCGTTTATTACATAAAAACGTTTTTCCCATACAAATATTTACCAATAAGTATTCAATTTCTAGATTGTTTAAGATTAGATTTTACATTATTCGGGTTTTGAAATCTAGGTTCAACCGATACATGGAAATTGGAAACATAATCTCAGATATCTAAGAAAACGATAAGTTATAGGCAGCAGGGTAAGAATTCCCTGAAATTAGACAGACTTTGGACACTAATGAATGTAAAATTACAGACATAGTAATAACAAATCGGTCGCAAGAAGAAAAGAAATTGTTGGATTTGGGAAAATCGTAACTCTACCCTCGAGCCCCCGAAATAATGGCGCCAAAATATCTGTGTTACCTTTCAGAGTATTGGATATTGTGTGTGTTTTGACTAATTATGTGTGTTTTGACTAATTAGGGGCATATTTGGACACCCTCAATACATTGTTTGGTAAAATATTGGTGATTTGTTCGTGTTATTTTCAATTCGTCGCCAACGTTTTGCAGACATTTTGCAGACGTATTTCTTGCAACCAACTTTCTCTTTCACAATCTCTGACGTCTTGTAAAGATTGATTGATCAGGCCGGTTGAACATGGATACTTGCTTCTTGAATTTGTTATACTTGTTAATACACCTAATCAATTTGCAAAAAAATCCAATCATTTCAAACCGTCTTGTCTGTAAAAACAATCCCCTGTATTCGTAATGAAACTGTCAGATTTGAGGATGTCAAGCTTGCTGGATCACGTGCTCTAATTGCTGGGTCACGTGATCTAACTTCACTTCAATTTAAACAGTTTCCCACACTCCTTATTGTAAGGGACAGGCTTAATGAATGGGACAAACAAAACAACAACAACTATTTGGGGGTAGAGTGCTGCTTGAGAGATTTCAATTAATTTGTAAACCCGACCTCTCCCTCTATCTGTACCGTGCCTTCCATGTAGATAGAGCCTTACTTTAGGTTGAACCCTTTACCCTAACATCAGGGCGGTTCACAGGTCTATATAAGTCACGGTGCCGGCACTTTGTCTGATCAGGTAGATGGACTGAAGAGTGAAGCTGGTGTATTGTTCATGTAATACTGAAGCTGATGTAATATAAAATTCTTAGCTGGAAACAAAAACATTTGTAGATTTTTATCACCTTTATTGGCAATTGCATTAGCTGAAAACAACGACGTTTGCCGTTTAAGTGCTAACTTTATCAAACATTTATTCTTTACAAAGAACTAAATTCTTTGATCTTTCCCTCAGAATACAGCTTATCCTTTATCATAAAGCTATGACTCTAGTGATCTATTAAGCAATTAGTGCATGGATTATAAGGCAATCGTGTGACTATTGACCCCAATCAAACAATACGATCGTGTGACTTGACCGCACTCAAACAAAGGAACCATCAGCAAGAAGCATGGCACCTAATCAATTCAAAAGAAAAGGACGCTAAAACTAGCACTAAAATCTAAATCAGTTTAAATCATTTCTAAAAGGATCACGTTAATGTTTAGATTGGTAGCTGAAAGTTAATGGGTTTAATGGGTCGGATTAACTGAGAGATTGGGCCAACAACCCCTCAGGACCCCTGACGTCCCCCTCCCTGAAACTCAATATCCAGACCTGTTGCTCCGGATCATTGGTCCGCTGATCTAGCTGTTTCGTGACACGGGGTTCGAGGTTGTTTCATTACATATCAAAACTAGTTCAATAACTATTAACTATACCAGTTCTGCAGCTGTTACCGTTGAAGCTTTTATTTTGCGGGCTTGTATTAATTCACTCTCTCCGTTGATATTACACAATTTAGTTACGTAACTTTACTTGCCAGATTGTTTATTCTAAACGTATAGATTTAAAGGTATTGCGTCTAGCAGTTTTGCTACAAATAACACTTCATATCCCCTGCACTACTCCCGACAGTGCAGTTCTACTAATACACCCTGAGGCAGAGGAGATCTCAATCAAGCCCGGGTAAATGGTCTAATAGCTCAATAATCTTTATTTTTACCCATGAATAGTAATGAGTTTTTGTTATTAGAGTCCTCGCAAAAGTGCATTTTTGACCAATCAAAATCAGTGGGGTGCTCTTGATTTATACGGAACCATTTGCCCAGTGCGACCAGATTGCTCTTAGTTGATCAGATGTGTGATTGTCGAACTTTGCCGCTAAGTTATTGTCGTCATGGTTTGTTGCAGCTTGTCGTTATATTCGTTTAGTACAAACTGTAGTTCTTGTTGTATTTATACGTCTTGCTAAAAGTTACCCACAGGTTTTACTACGCAGATTACATACATATCTCCCTGAATAATAGTATTAGCCACGTTTTCATAGTTACGTCATAATATGACAGTAGTTACGTCATAATATGAGAGTAGTTACGTCATAATATATGACATTAGTCGACATCATGATATTTTAAAACAGAGGATGTGCTCAGAAAATAAGCTGTGTTAGATTGACACATGTTCTCTCTCTCTCTCATGGTATGTTGTTATCTATATGAATATCATATTTGCCGCCCAACAGCACAGGCACGAGTCAGCTGTCAACTTTTCAAGTTTGTTAGTTATCAGGTATAGAACGTGTGTAGTTTCCCAATCTCCGGGCTCACATACACGCTTTGTCATCTTGTTATACTGTAGTCACCTCTCATCCTACAAACCACGTGTCTCCTCTCTCAGCCAATCAAATCACTTGACCATACCCACGTGGGCAAGGAGGGGTGGGAGATTGGTCTTTTTACGCTAGACTCGCGTTGGCATTGGTCCTGCAATAAATCTAAGAGATAGAAAAGTTTCCTAAGCAATCTACATATTAACTAGTATATTATCTCGGTGGGAGTTTTTGAAAATATATCCCAGATCATTTGTTAGCATGAAGACCAGTCACATGTCTCACATAGGGCCAGTCATTGGTCCCGCAATATTGGTCCTGTGCAGACATTGGTCACCAGAGTAACGTCCATATGTGATAGGTCTACAGTTTGGGAGGTGTAATATAGTGAGTTGTTTAAAAACTATAGATTATGTGAGATAGCAGAGAGATGAGGATGTATAGTAGGATGGTAACCGTGGTAACGCGTTATAGTAGGATGTGTAGTAGGATGGTAACGCGTTATAGATCTCCATCTACAGTTATGTGACCATTAGATTAACCAATTGTGCTGCCGAGTCTCGAACTTGGTGCACGTGCTGTAACCATGGTAACACGTGCACCTGCGCGACCACTCACAATTGAGCGGTTGTGTCACGTGTCAGGCTCCAACCACTGAGCACAACTGATAAGTCACGTGGAAGAACTTTAATTTTTGGCGGACATTTAGCTGAAAAGGAAGATCGTGTTTCAGGTAATGTCGAAATGTATTGCTATATGCATGCGGCGTGGGGCACTGACTACTGTCCGGAATGAATTCCTAAGATTCCTCCGATCTCCAGTGGTTCAGTCTTTACTAATTGTCCGTGCTGTGAGATAACATTAGCCTTTACAAATCGTAAATACACCCAAAACTCCAAAGACAAATGATGTTCACAACAAAATACTGCAATTTGCAAATATTACTTGAGAATCTCAATTTTAGGTTGTGCTAGCTTCTTGTTGTATATTTTCGTAAGTCGACGTCTCAAAAATTAGTTCTAAATCAATTATTGTTTGAAATTGCCTATAAAAATATATATCTTTGAGCCAAGACTGTGTGGACAACTTGAACAGATGTTTTTGACTTCGTAATTTCCCGAATTTTTGACGATACAAATTTTAACACTGGAAAATCAGTTTTACGAAATGTGTTGAAAGTTTCCCACGTGGATTTTCCAACAGAATTTCACCTGATTTTGTGGCAGAGGCTCCTTTCTGATATTTTTGTAGCAAAATTACACATAGAAATGCAGAAAACGGCAAATTATGCGACTCTGCACCCACCGCACCCGCCTTTGTTTCGAGTTTGCTAACAATGCTGTGATGATATGTAGTTATCAGGCCGGTCCATTTTTTGAATTTCCAATATTTTGTATCTTTTCTGAGTTGTGACACTCTCCTTTCTGAGACTGTTCAAGACTAATCTACTCAGAAAATATTTGATCAGCTCCAAAATATAAACCATTAAAAAAGTTTCAAGGTTAGTAACTCAACCCGGCTAACGACAAGTTAAATATACGCTCAGCCTCATAGCACGGTTCACATCCACTACCATTCTATCTAAATGAAGCGAATATAATACAACCCACAAGAACTCACGCTTTCAACATAGAACTCAAGCCAGCAAGGGTGATCACAAAGTCGTTATTCCAACATGGTTTTATGATAGAACACATTGTTATGTCGTCCCTGCCTCAATGTCTAGTTATTGGAACTCAATCAGGAGCTCAATTAAACGGCACCCCCGCTGACAGTGGCCCCATTATTCCTCCACTCTAATTAGATTGAGACAGGGAGGCACATAAAACCCACCTTCACCAGCCGTTAGGTCTGTAGGTCCGCTATTGTCGTGTTTAGACTATCAAGTTGCACTGCGAGTGTGTGTCGGCCCCGCGGTGGTCCACACCATGTTTAGTTGGGGCCCCCGTTATTCTGTTTCTTTGTGTCCGTGAGTTTGCTGGTCAGGATGGGTTTGTACGGGCCGTACAAACCCCGTACAGTACAGGGACAAGTTGCGCATGAGCGGGAGAGCGTCAAGTTGCGGGGGGACTAACAGATGATGTGCTACATGAAATGCTATTAAACAAGGGATTTAGTCGAGGTTTGCAGCTGGCGCAGTGCCCCAGCCATCTGCTCAGCTCTGACACACATACCAACTAGTACGGGTAATCTTATTGATAATCTGCGACCCTGCACAGATCCTGCACCCATCTGGTGGGGGACAGACTCAGGACAGACAGCAGATCAGGGACAGACAGGAGGATGGGCAGGACACCAGCTGACAGCCGGACACCAGGGAGCACTGCTCCTTGTCCTGCTGCTCCAACACCCGCACTCCGCACTGCTCCTTGTCCTGCTGCTCCAACACCCGCACTCCGCACTGCTCCTTGTCCTGCTGCTCCAACACCCGCACTCCGCACTGCTCCTTGTCCTACTGCTCCAACACCCGCACTCCGCACTGCTCCTTGTCCTACTGCTCCAACACCCGCACTCCGCACTGCTCCTTGTCCTACTGCTCCAACACCCGCACTCCGCACTGCTCCGTGTCCTACTGCTCCAACACCCGCACTCCGCACTGCTCCTTGTCCTGCTGCTCCAACACCCGCACTCCGCACTGCTCCTTGTCCTACTGCTCCAACACCCGCACTCCACACTGCTCCTTGTCCTGCTGCTCCAACACCCGCACTCCGCACTGCTCCTTGTCCTACTGCTCCAACACCCGCACTCCGCACTGCTCCTTGTCCTACTGCTCCAACACCCGCACTCCGCACTGCTCCTTGTCCTACTGCTCCAACACCCGCACTCCGCACTGCTCCTTGTCCTACTGCTCCAACACCCGCACTCCGCACTGCTCCTTGTCCTACTGCTCCAACACCCGCACTCCACACTGCTCCTTGTCCTGCTGCTCCAACACCCGCACTCCGCACTGCTCCTTGTCCTACTGCTCCAACACCCGCACTCCACACTGCTCCTTGTCCTACTGCTCCAACACCCGCACTCCACACTGCTCCTTGTCCTACTGCTCCAACACCCGCACTCCGCACTGCTCCTTGTCCTACTGCTCCAACACCCGCACTCCGCACTGCTCCTTGTCCTACTGCTCCAACACCCGCACTCCACACTGCTCCTTGTCCTGCTGCTCCAACACCCGCACTCCGCACTGCTCCTTGTCCTACTGCTCCAACACCCGCACTCCACACTGCTCCTTGTCCTACTGCTCCAACACCCGCACTCCGCACTGCTCCTTGTCCTGCTGCTCCAACACCCGCACTCCGCACTGCTCCTTGTCCTACTGCTCCAACACCCGCACTCCACACTGCTCCTTGTCCTACTGCTCCAACACCCGCACTCCGCACTGCTCCTTGTCCTACTGCTCCAACACCCGCACTCCGCACTGCTCCTTGTCCTACTGCTCCAACACCCGCACTCCGCACTGCTCCTTGTCCTACTGCTCCAACACCCGCACTCCGCACTGCTCCTTGTCCTACTGCTCCAACACCCGCACTCCGCACTGCTCCTTGTCCTACTGCTCCAACACCCAGCACTCCGCACTGCTCCTTGTCCTGCTGCTCCAACACCCGCACTGCTCCTTGTCCTACTGCTCCAACACCCGCACTCCACACTGCTCCTTGTCCTACTGCTCCAACACCCGCACTCCACACTGCTCCTTGTCCTACTGCTCCAACACCCGCACTCCGCACTGCTCCTTGTCCTGCTGCTCCAACACCCGCACTCCGCAGCTCCCAGAGTTGAGGTGCAGTGATGTAAAGTGGCGTGCAGTGGTCTTCTCTTTCATTCTCTACCTCCTCTTCATCTGTACTCATCTGCTCAACCTCCTCCATCCTACTCACAGTCCTGTTCTCTTGAGTCGTGATGTTAAGTGATACATCTGATGGGTGTTCTGTCTTGACAAGCACCACGGTAAACTAAACACCGCCCTACTTGGCCCTACTTCTTCACCCATCAATCCTGGACCTTGTTAAACTATACTTGTCACGTGTCTTAAACTGCTTCTTAAACTGCTCCTTAAACTGCTCCTTTACCAAACACCTTAAACCGGAGAGAACACCCTAACAGTTTGCTTGTTACCTGAACTGCAGGGCGTAAGATAGTTCCTGGTCTCCAGTATCAAGTGGAACTGAGCACGCCAATGCCCCACCCTAACAAGAACGGACCCCCTAGAAGTAGATACAATCTAATTGTAAAACAGTTGCATCCAGCACTAATGCGGACCACACACACACACTCACTCACAAACAGACACACACACTCACAAACACTCCTATTACTGCAGTACTATGCTCCCCTTAAAGCTGTCGAGCTAACTCTCTGGATTTCCGATCTAACTAATATGATTTAAACGCCAGCTGTCACGTGACCACGCGATCCAATAACAATCTGCTAGATTAGACTTTTTTAGTTCTTTTAATCTTTTCAAATTTCTCTCTAGTCGCTCGGGTGATCATAATGGCCGGCGAGGTGTGTAATTATTTTGCACTGCTCCTGTATGCAGTTTTACAGTATGTTTTTGTGGTGGCTCAAGGTGCTTGCACGCACAAAAAAGGTACATGGCAGTCCTTAGCTAGAGTACGGTCATTAACAAATAAGTAAATAGGGGAGAGTGAGAAAGAGCCTGTAATTATGAAATACAGTAACCACCCTTATAATACTATTTTGTTTTTCCATTTGTTAGCAATTAGTGAGCTCTCTTATCTTTTAAAATATTTGATAAGCGGCTACCAGGTACATGCTTATTGTACATTACATACGACCACGGTACATAGATTATTGTACATATATCATCCTGTTTTGAAGAACTGAAATGGCAGGCTTAAAGGAAAAACAATCAGAAAGCAAAAAGATTGCGATTGGAAGCCTGCTAAACCTTGCAGATGAACCCAGCAAGAAAGTATTGTGTTCTTACAGTGCCACTGCTACCTACAAAACAAACTTAGAGAATATGAAAGCCCACAATGCCCCTGTTCTCGAAGCCTGTGCCCAACTATTAGGTTTTAAAGTACGTGAAGCTGAAAAGAAGCTGTACAAGAACCAGGAGATTCTGTGTGACCGAATGATACTCAAGATCGAGTCCCTGTTCGACACCAATTGTGATGCCTGCTCAACTGTATACCACAACGATATGACAGTCCAACCGCTCTTAAGATGTCGGCTTTGTATGCAGGGTTCGCACAATTGTGAAAAGATGAAAGAAAAAGCGACCGCTTTTAAAGAACTAATCGAGAAGGGATTCTTCCCGCCTGAAGGATTGTGGCTCTGTTATGAGTGCGACCGTAAAAACGACCTGTCCCTACAGCCCCCCCAAAAGCCCCCCAAGGCAAGAAGCTCTCAAAGCTCGTCTGAAGGTATTCTGGATCCTATCAAAGAACATGACGAGGAAGGAGAAGAACATATCACTTCAGAAGAGGATAGAGAGAGCCCTAGAAGGAATAGAGACGACAACTTGAACGAAGAACAGACTAACACTGTGAGTGTGGTCTGCAGAGAATATGTCATGAGAAGATGCCACCATGGCCTCACTGGAAAACGCCTGATAAATGGCAAAGGATGCCCATATCTGCATCCCAAAAGGTGCCGATATTACTCAGATTTTGGGGACGACAAACAAAGAGGCTGCAAGAAAGGGGAAAATTGCAACTTCTTTCACCCAAAACTGTGCAGAAACTCAGTGGCTACCCGAACTTGTTTCCATAAAGAGTGCGGCTTCCATCACTTGAAAGGAACTGCTAGAAAGACTGTTGGAGCCACAAATGCAGGAATAGATAGGTCCCAGCCCCTGCAACAACAGCAACATCAGCCGCAACAACAAAGAGGTCTAAGAAGACCAGACTTTAACCAAGCCCGAGGACAATGGCCACCTCTAAGCTCCATTGAACCCGACAAAATGGGCAGCCTAAACTCAGTAAACACAGTATACCCGCCAACTGTGGATAACTGGAAACAGGCTAGAACACGCAAGGATAGTTACTCTGAAAGAGAAAGAGACGGTGCTTTTTTAGAGAAACTTCTGGAAAACCTCAAGAACGGAATTATATCCGAAATGGACTCAAAGCTCATGAAGCTTCGGGACGAAATCCCGACATTAATACAAGAAACCCAGTCAAGATCACGCCAACCATCCTCCCAAAGCCAACTCCAAGCCCCTCCACCTCAAGGACAAGTCCGACCCCCATTCCCGATGACTGCACCAATGCAGCCATTTCAACTACCGCATCAAATGGGCCTTCATCCCAATTATGCAGGATCTTGCTACTAAATGCCAGATCAATCTCACCTGCCGCCACTAGTACTGTCAAGTGGAAAATACCCGTCATCAGAGATCATATGCTCCACGACAAAGAATCCCCCACCACCCCATTTCTTGCTATCACGGAGTCGTGGCTAAAACCATATATTAGTGATGCACAGATCAAGATAGAGGGATACAACTCTGTAAGGACTGATCGCCCTTTTCGAAAGGGTGGTGGATGTGTGCTCTACATTGAGGAGTCACTATTATTTTCAGACTGTTTTAGTTATAGTGACAAACACTGCAGCATGCTTTACTGTTTCATAGACTCAATGAATACATTAGCTGTAGTTATTTACCGCCCACCGGACGCTCCAACAGAATCTTTCAAAGGAATTCTGGACCTAGTTCAAAAGAAACTAGACGCCCTCACCTCCGATAACAGAACACCGGACCTCTACATAATGGGAGACTTTAATCTCCCCAATATAGACTGGGAGTATTCAAATGTCCTCGCCGGCCAAACCCAATCGGATCAAAGAGCCTGCTCAGGCCTACTCGACTTCATGAACAAGAACTTTCTCAGTCAAATGATTCATGAACCTACTAGAGATAGCAACATTATTGATTTGATACTCACCAACAAGCCCCAAGACGTAATCGAGACGAACGTGTGTGTGACCCAGCTGTCTGATCATAGACTTGTTGAGCTTTTACTAGGTCACAACCCTCTCAGCCCCAAGCAAACCTCAACTGAAGTTGTAGATAAAGACTCTTTTCGAGCAGTAAATTATCACAACGCTGACTTTGAAGCTATGAATGAACTTCTAACAACAATAGATTGGAAGGAACTTAAAAGACTCTGTGAAGACGATGAGAATGGGAGTAATTTCTTGGAACTCATCCGTTTGACTGTGCTCCAGGTCACTCTCCTCAATTCCCCGTACAATAATAAGCCAGGTGCTTCCCCAGTGCACAGAAACCAGCATTGTCGTAAAAAGTATACGCTTAAAAGGAAAAAGAGGAAGATCAACGCCCGCATGAATGCCATTACTCAAAGAAACCCTACGTCCCCCGTCCTTGCAAAGCTTAGAAATGAAGTGGACCTCTTGGCATTTGAAATAAGTGAGCTGATCATCAACGAGCTCAACGAACGCGAGGCTAAAGCTGTCACTACCATAAAGACAAATCCACGTTACTTCTACAGCTACGCAAAGAAGTTTGCGAAAGTCAAATCTTCTGTCTCCCCCATCAGAGATAGAGAAGGTCGACTGCACACTGACCCCAAGGAAAAGGCCGAGCTCCTCCAGGCCCAATATGTGAAAGTATTTAGTGACCCAAATGAAGCCCACATCGAGGAAAGCCTTGCTGGATTGAACCCTGTGCCAGTTAAGGAACTCGATCAAATGCAATTCTCAGTTAACGATATCTCAGAAGCCATCAAGGAACTGGACCCGTATTCATCGACCCCTGATGGTGATATCCCTGCTAGGATCCTGACCAAATGTAGAGAGACATTGTCCGAGCCCATATTTCTACTCTGGCAAGATTCTTTTGAAACTGGAGTAATCCCTCCTAGCATGAAAACGCAGTTTATTACCCCTGTCTACAAGAAGGGTGACCGCACAGAGGCTGCCAACTACCGCCCTGTTTCTATAACATCGCATATCATCAAGATCTTCGAAAGAGTGATACGAAACAACCTTGTCGAACATATGGAAGTGAATAACTTTCTTTCACCGCATCAACATGGATTTCGCAAAAAGAGGAGCTGCCTAACTCAACTCTTAGACCATGTAGATACCATATTGAAAAGCCTGAACAGTGGCGAAGAAGTAGATGTCATATACCTCGATTACGCCAAGGCGTTCGATAAGGTGGATCACAACATACTACTACTTGCAAAAGCAAAACGTTACGGAATTCATGGAAACATGCTCCAGTGGTTAAGCGAATTCCTAAAAAACCGTCTCCAGACAGTGGTCGTTGAAGGAACTAAGTCATCCTTCCAGCTGGTGATAAGTGGAGTGCCACAAGGTACAGTGTTGGGACCGATTCTGTTCATTCTCTACATCGATGACCAATTGGACGCACTGCTTACCTCTCTTGGAAAGATATTTGCTGATGACACTAAACTCATCGGTAAAATATTGGACTTGGCCACCAAAGCATCGCTACAAGAAGACCTCTTCAATGTCATTGCCTGGGCTCGAAGAAACAATATGCAGCTCAATGAAGCCAAATTTGAGATCCTCAATTATACGCTCAATAATTCTCTTCTGCTGCGAAATCTGCCATTTACAAATGATCTGCTCAGTTACACTCTTACAACAGGTCAAATAATTGAGCCAGCAGAAACTGTCAGGGACTTGGGGGTGATTTTATCAAACGACTGCTCTTGGACTCCCCACATCCAGAAAATGATCCAATCAGCAAGCACTATGTCATCCTGGGTTCTTAGCGTCTTCAAAGATAGATCACAATTTCTCATGCTTACCCTCTTCAAAACCATGGTGCGGAGTAAGCTAGAATATTGCTGCCCTGTCTGGAATCCAGCCAAGACCATGGACATAGAGGCTATAGAAAACGTTCAACGACAATTTACCCGACGCATTAACGGATGCAGTGGTTTAGACTACTGGGAACGTCTCACGAAACTCAATATCATATCATTGCAGAGACGTCGAGAAAGGTACATCTTGATCCACACATGGAAAATTCTCAATGGCCTGGCCCCAAATGATATTGGCATGCTGTTCAAAAACAACCCCCGACATGGAATAAAAGCTACTGTACCAGCACTGAACAACAAATCACAGCGTTCTGTGGCAACTCACTATGAAAACTCGTTTGGAGTGAAAGCGGCACAGCTGTGGAATCTTCTCCCCAAAGAAATTAATTCCATCTCTACTTTGGACCTGTTAAAATCGTCACTGGCTAAATTCCTTAAAGAATTCCCCGACACACCTCCGACTAAAGGATACACCGCTACTAACAACAACTCACTCTTGGAATGGTACTTACAAAAAGACCCCTGTGGAGTGATAGGAGGACGTACTTGATACTGTTGTCCTGAAGCGATCCCAGCCAAACCTACTCAAAGTACTCAAAGTAAGTAAGTATAAACTGCTCGTTCTGATAAATTATACTTGTCCACGTGACCTCGTAATCGACCAGGCAGGAGGGCTCCAGAGAGGTAAATCTCAAACTCTCACCAGCATACTCAATCTCCCATCTTAAGTCAGTAATCGGTGGCGTAATTACGATTTACTGTGAACACGTGCCGAATAAGAATTTTACTGATTCAGTAACAGAGCAACCAGACAGAGGGCAGTAAAACCGTTTGCTGGCCGAGTAAAATGAGTACTAATTTAAAATTTTGATAATTTTGTGTGCCTCCTGCACTACTCCTATTCGATCAGGTAATAGATAACTATCTCATATTTTGTGGTGCACAGCGGTCCTCATAATTTACCAATTTTTATATATACTCGTCTTTAAATGCCATATCATTTGATCGTTCAGGTGTTGTTTTTTATTCCAATCTCTGATCCCCCCCTCTTGTTTGTAGCATCATGACACAGTACGGTATACCGAGCGCTGGTTCGCACTACCGACCGTACGCGACCGGAATGATCCGGTTCTCTCCGCCCGCCACCTCCACTCGCATCCTCCCACAAGAGACATTCTGTTACCCTGAGTACAGTGTGGGATACGGGGGTCCCTGTGCTTATCCTCCCCCAGGACTCAAGGACGAGGATCACAGCTTCTCTCTCCAGGGATTCTCTCTCAACGGTAAGACTATGTTTGTAGCTGTTGTTATAGTTTTATTTTGTGTGTTTTGGACTTATAGACTGCTGCCAAAGTTGTATTTTTTGAGCTGCTTGCTTGTATCTAAAAAGTACGGTCGTTGGTATTGTACCAGACGAGTTAGTATTATACCAGACGTGAGTCTCTCAGTTTCTGCAGAACTCGAACAAGTCATTAGTCGAAGGTTTTAACACTTCGTAAGTTGGGCACTTTTTAAAATGCTTTGCACGTGAGTCCACCTCGTACACCAAATGGGAATTCAAAGTTGGAAGTTTTTTTAATGGATGGGCAAGGAGAAGTTTCTAAAGTTGGAAGTTTTTCCAGCACCTCTAGCTGCATTCCAGTGAAGACCATCTCAGGAATGGTGACCTCACACTGATGAGTATTTATTTACCAGCTCCATGTTCATGCCAGGCACCAGCATTACCACACAATCCCCCATAATTCTAGACATATCCTTTTGCCTTCTGTCTGACCGGGCCCGATCTAAGGAGCTGATAAGACTGATAAGGGCTCCTTCTATAACAACTTGCAATTAGATGAAGGTGTCAAACAAGACACCTTCCATTGGTATATCCTCCAAAAACCCTCCGATTAGCTCATTATTTGCGGGACTGTGAAGGAACAGGCTCTTTGAAGTGGCCCGGCTGTTATGAGGAGCTATTAGTCGCGCTACCATCTCACAGGGTCACAGGGTGTACCATGAGCAATGTGAGCCTCATCAATGTGAGCTGTTAACCTCGTCTAGATAAGCAAATCGATCGATAACAATCTAAATTCTTTAATTTCAAGTTTTTCCTGCATGTAATTCTAAGAAGCAGACTTTAAGATGGATTAGGATATTGAACTGTTATCATTTCTTCTATTTCTCTCTATTTTCCTCCGTAAACCACCGCTATTGATACGATTTCCCGCTTTTATACCTCTATATGAGGGCGCAAACCTGGTCAAGTTTCTCAATTCCCAAGTGAATAATTGAGCAGCACCTGCCCAGATACCAACACACCAGTCCCTTTTGTTTCTCAAGAAGTTGGTCGGAACCAGTGGTCCATGAAATTAATTACTGAGTAATGTCCAGTCGTGATTCTTTTGCCGACTGTATCAATCCATTGGTTTTATCGTTAATATGACCCAGGCCTTATCGATATGAGATATCTTATCTGATTATCATAGGGACGGGTGCATCCCACCCAGTTCAAGCCTTGTGTCGATATCTTATCTGATTATTATGGGGCCTGCCGGTGGGTGCATATATAAAACGTGAGCAATGCAGTCATGGTAACTGTTGTCATGGAAATGCATACTTTATCAATGTTCCAACTTTTACCGGTGAATCTGTTAAAATCCGTTAAAATGAATCTGTTGAAATCATAAGCTGTTATCTAAATCAAATTATCGAGAGGTTTCCGTCTAACTTTGTAACGGTACATTAATTACATACTTATTCACACTTCTTTAAGAGCAGTAGTAGACTAGTAACCTGTTATACTGGTCCAGTAATCAGTATAACTGGTTACTAGTGATAAAACCATTCCCCCAGGTACGAACATTGAACGTTAATAAAATGAGCAACATTAAGTGGACTGTTACAAGATTTGAAATAACCAATAGAACTTCTAGAATAGAACATCTAGGAAACTCTAGAGTCTAGACATCCCAACCTAGTCACCTAAGATTGAAAATAACATCACCACATGATTGCTGAACCCATAGTCCCTACATCAGGGGGGATCAGACATTTCACATGAAACTTTGTGAAATGTCTGAGAGGATCAAATATCCTACACTATCCTACACCCAGCTTCAGGGCTCACATTATACAGCCCTCTTCAGAGCTGCTTCATGTGGCAGGTTACCTGGTTACCTGGTTACCTGGTTACCTGGTTACCTGGTTACCTGGTTACCTGGTTACCTGGTTACCTGGTTACCTGGTTACCTGGTTACCTGGTTACCTGGTTACCTGGTTACCTGGTTACCTGGTTACCTGGTTACCTGGTTACCTGGTTACCTGGTTACCTGGTTACCTGGTTACCTGGTTACCTGGTTACCTGGTTACCTGGTTACCTGGTTACCTGGTTACCTGGTTACCTGGTTACCTGGTTACCTGGTTACCTGGTTACCTGGTTACCTGGTTACCTGGTTACCTGGTTACCTGGTTACCTGGTTACCTGGTTACCTGGTTACCTGGTTACCTGGTTACCTGGTTACCTGCTTCATGTGGCAGGTTACCTCACTAGATCCTATAACAGTTCCAACCCGGCCTGGTGATAATAACTCTGAGATCGATCGAACCTCTTTACTGTCTCGTAACGGTCTACTGCAGCGGTGGTCACATTTCCATGTGTTACTTATACTGAGAATTATTGTGGCTATTAGCTTACGTTCCATATCTGAAGAGAATAGCTCATTTGTACAATGTGTAGTGTAATTCTCCAACCGATCTGTCTCCAGCTGAAGCTTCTTTTTTTGCAGTTTTTGAGCTATTTTTATCTGCAAGTGGTAAACACAGCTGTGTTTTGTTTTTGTGCCATTTTTCTCGCGCTCTTGTTTCAGCACTCAGTTTAAAGATGACTCTCACACATTGTGTTCTAAATTACGCATCACCAACCGTCGAACTTAATTCTTCTCTGGCACATTTCACTCTGTAAAGACTGCATTTTGGTGTAAACCACCTCGTTAATTAATTAGTTAGTTAGACATCTTATAAAGCTAGTAAAAGTTCCAAATATTGGCCTCACTGTATACCCTGCCCTCATAACATGTATAATATTACAACTCATGTTGCTCTCATGTGTGGTTATGGAATCCGGTCTAAAAATCGAGTTATAATGGAGGGTATAATCCACTTATAGTTGGTGTGGAGTGTTGACAATGAAACTGTATCAGCCCTGAAGACTCAACCCCTCCACCACTCACTATTCTTCAGTCTTTACACTTTCTGCTAGCACGTTTAATGTAGTGTCTATAATGTTATCTGATCTGATTTCAACACTAGAGGGATCTTCACAAGGTTCCCAGTCCACTACAGCCAGGCTCGACACTCAATAATAATAATGATAATCGCAGTGATGGAGGTGGAGGACTCTAGAGCTCGTAATGCCCGGTAGTTTCTGTAATTAGAGGGGTCCGTAGAGCTAGAATAATTAAGTGAAACCTAATACCCTCAATTATAGCTGGATCTCTCTCTCTCTCTCTCTCTCTCTCTCTCGCTGGGTCGGTCAATGCGCACTACTCCTTCAGTTAACGTCTTTAGCTCTCCAGCTATAGCAAGAGAGGGGCCAGCCTTTGTTTTATATATACACAACAACTTTAGTGTTTGCTTATCTCTCTCTCTCTCTCTCTCTCTCTCTCTATTTACACTGTGTTGTTTTGTAGCTAGAAGTGGGTGTTAGTTGCGTTAGTGTGAATTATTTCCCTGCCTTGTTGGATGGCTCTTCTCAATCTTCTGCTAAGTTAGTAGAGTATTCGACCGACATCATGATTGCATGCATCCTATCAAACTTACATTTTCTTGGTCGATAGTTGTTAAGCGTTGTTCAGATTACTGTCCCGATGGTTTTGGAGCTTTGTTCTTACAAAGGGTTTGAAAATCTCTGTTTTTCACTGAATCCTCCGCAGATAACAGTGTGCCCGTCAGTACACGAGGCCTGGACTGGTCTTCTCAGCGACTACAGAACATCTCCGGACCCCATAATGCTACCCCTCCTGTCATGCTCCAAGGAGCTCATCATCCAGGTAGGAACCGTGTTTCCTGACAGGCTGGTGCCTCTCATGTTTAAAGGAAAAGCCAATTGGAATACTAAAAAGCTTGACAAAAGGGTTACATTTTCTGTGATATCATCCACCAAGTTCATCTTAGAACTTATATTAACAGACAATAAAATCTCTTACAAATATATCGATTGATATCAAAATCAAATCTAGTTTGCTCCATAAGTGGTTTATTGGGCTCGGAATTACATAACCTGCTAGTTAAGTGTTTGTCCTGATAGTTTCTTGTTGTATCTCACAAATTTCCCCACTTTCAGACTCGACGATCGAGAAGCCAAAGTTCTGGCCGGACAGTCCGACCAAATCAGGAGGGACGGACAAGAAACTGTTCCTGCCTCCTAATCTTAATCCAAGAGACGAGCCCTTTAACGGTTGGTGTACATATTAGCGGAGCTTTTTTCGCGTAATTAGTTTTCACAGAACACATTTCTGCGGTATCCGATTGATTTTTATACGCAAGTCATTAATCTAATTAATTAGTCCTATCTTGTTATTATATATCACGTACTCTTCACCTGAATTACAGGGACTATTTCTGGAAGTGATAAGGTATTATAAGGGGGATCACATACATATTTTTTCGTCAGAGCCCAAAAAAAACATGATTTAGTCTTATGGGAACCTATGCATGGTAGAGCACAGCAAGGCCGACCAAGACAAAGCGACTTGTCTGTGTTACTGAAGGAAGTTGGTACAAACCCTGATGCGGGACAGGGATATATGGAGGGGGTTATCTGGCGTAGATCGGACTTAGTTCCGACATAGTAGTAGCACACACCATACCAATTCTATACAATGACCCATTTCAGGGCGCAAAGATCAGTCGACGGAGTTTGTGAGCGTGTTACGAGGAGCCCTGGGATCCATCAACAACCACGACTCTAACCTGCTGCACTGGTCCATGGAGATGCCGGTCAGTTGTATTTCAATACGCCTTTATCATTACAGTACATTCACTTCATCGCAGTACAACATTAATAACTTTTAAAAAGTGGATATGTTAAAATCTAAAAGTAAAACTTTTAAACTCGGAAGACTTTTAAAAGGAAACGCTTCTCGTTATTTATTTGACTGATAATTCAGACATGTCCCTTTATTAACTGGATTGAATCCTTCATAATGACTATGTTTGATCTTCACCTCATTCTGTTTGACAGAAAGCTGCCCATTTTGAAGTGAAAACCTTCAACTGCATTCAACATTATCAATAGGAAAATAAAATCTAATTTAATAACTATGGGGTTTTAAAATTATCTAAATGTCCTTAAATTTACTGTTTTTTTCTCCATAAAACATAATTTTTGCGAACCTCTCAATGCAGCAGTGTGCACAGGGCATACTTTCTCTAGTTTCTCTACTTTCTCCCACGGCATTTTAATCTCAAAGTTTTAAAAACCTAGGCCTCCGTCGGCAGAGTACGGAATTAGTGTCTTCATGTCTTGTTTAGGTACCTGGTACATAATATATTATTAGCTGCAGCAGTAATTTTGGAATTAGACAGGCTTGTGTGTTAAAACCATTGGTGTGAAATGTACTTTTCCGCCATTAATTGGGTCTAACCAATACTAGTTTAATGAACAGATAACGGTTTCTTATTACCGGTTTTTAATCTAACCTTAACAGCTTAACGTCTTACGATAAAATATTAAGGACTGGGTCTTAAAATGTTAAAATGTCAGTGAACCGGAACCGTTTTGTCTGTACAGTGTTCATTGTCGGCAATAGTATACTTTAGTATGTAGTAGGTCACGTAAATTATCGTACCACGTATATTATGGCCTAAGTTGGACCCATATTTGATCTCTAAATATATCTCTAAATTCTGAAATACGTGAATTATTTAAAAGTTTCTTCTGGGTAGCAATACGGTATATTGTACTCCAATATAAATGATCCTATAAAAGTATAAATATGATTAAGAACTACCTACGTGCCTTTTGAATGCTGAATGACGACTATTTCAGTTGAACCAAGAAGGACCACCCTCCTACTCGACCCCTGACCCAGTCGAGGATATCGGCTCGGAAATGTGCTTTCCAAAACCCTCCGACATACCATACGTTCCAGCGGTATCGTATTGCAGCAAAGGACCCCTGCCCCTCCCTCCTTACATGCTACCCTCTCTGGAGAGACTGGATACTCAGAATAGTAAAGTCAGGATTAAGAGGGAACCTAAACATTATACCAAAGGTACGAGTTTTACAGATTTAATAAATTTACATATTCTGTAGTGTCAATTGACCATTTTCTTGTTACACCAAAAGCATAATCACTTAATTACCATAAACCCTTTATTACCATATCTCAGCATTGACTGTACATATGTTTTCAGATAAAGACACAGAGAAAGTGAAGCGAGAGACTGACAGACGAGTTGCGAATAATCAGCGAGAGCGAGTGCGCGTGCGCGACATCAATGAAGCATTCAAAGAACTGGGCAAAATGTGCACTTTGCACGTGCAGAACGACAAGGTCCAGACGAAACTGAATATCTTACATCAAGCTGTAAACGTGATCAACCAGCTGGAGGACGAAGTTGGAAGTAAGTTTCGTCTTACTTTCTGTTTCTGTTTCTGTTTCTGTTTCTGTACCAGCTGCCAACAGCGATTGATATGTAATATCATCCAGTAATTCTGTAGACGACTTTATCTAACATGATGCAGCAGAAATAAACGCCGCACTTTCTTTTGTATTATGAAAATTCTCTCAAATTTTAAACACCACAAATGCAGTAAGAATTAGATACCAAAACTAACCAACTCTATTTACAGAAAGGAATCTAAACAAAGAGCTGCCAGCTTTCCAGAACGACATCGCCATCAAACACAAACTAGCCTCCTCCAGTTCGAGCAACAGTTCAAATAACGAGCTCCTACATTCCTCGGGCAGTGGCGGAGGAATGTCCGACCACCACTCAGCACGCATGATGGAATGTTACCCTCCTCCCATTCCTTGTCAACCTCCCCACATGCCCACCCCTGTAAATCCAGTAAGTTCACTGACACACACACACACACACACACCTGACACACACACACACATTTATGTTTTATTTCTTGAAGTTGAACAGAAAAGTGTAAGTGTACATATAACTTGTGTGTAACATTTTAATTGGGATATCGTACAGCCTGTATAATGTATATTAGCGATCAGATAGTGTAGTGTGTGCGATCAAGATCTGATTAAGTCGTGTACTGCTATATCGAGTTTCAATGAATTATTCTTACAAGTTTCATGAAGTTTTCTGAAGTGTTATGAAGAGTCTATTCAGAAAAAATCAAAAGTTTTCTTAAAAAGATCATATATATTATATTACGGCCAGGTAGCGTAGTTGGTTGATCATCGGATTTGTAATCGTAAGATTGCGAGTTCGAATCCCACTGCCTGCCTAGTCGTGGGGTGAGCGTCGTTGACGCTCTGCTAAGGATCCCGAGTGGTCTATGTAGCCCCACGGTTCACTCAGCCGAATGCTCGAGAAATCGGGTGTGAGGGTTAAATGAGGAGCTGTGCTTGATCAACACAGCGAAGCCTCGGGCGAAGAAAGTGTGGCATAGTGCCTTAACCGTTGCTGGCCTTAGGAACGATCCTTCGGGTTCTTGTAAAGCTCTTCCTTGAAAGTGCTGGTTTACATTGTAATGCAGGTAATGCCGAAGTAAAATAACAAAGGTGGTCGACTCATTCGATGGCCTTGTTGCGTCGCAACGAATCCTCATAAGATAAGATAAGATAAGATGGTGTATGTATTATCCTATATCACCTAAGATATTCTAGTAGGGTTCTGCCCCCAGACTGGCCCCCAATTTCTAAATAGATGTTACTATATACCAGAACACGCTGAGTGCCCCTTCACAATACAGCGCTCTTTTGAAATCTCTCTCTCTCTCTCTCTCTCCCCATCTCTACACTATAATACCAGCCAGTTAGACTCAGAACTAAAGGAACTGTGTCTCTAACTGTAATACTCCGTTATTCTCACACCTTGCCTGATCTCTCTCCTCCTCTCTATTTCTCTCTCTGTACACACAACCGTGACTATAATATCTGAGTTTAGTGCAGCAGGTGTAGCAGGTATACACTTAAACTTGTCTAGTTCGGTACTCGCAACGTGTGACGGACATTATACTCTAGTAGTATATACTATATAGTAGTATATAATATAATACTAGTAGAGGGGCATGAGAAAGCAAGTATGCGGTAAGCTGGTAAGGTATGACGTCATTACTGATACGTCATCATGACGTTATCACAGCCATTACTAATACGTCATCATGATGTTATCACGGCCATTACGTGTAAGATATTTTGGTGAACACAGTAGTCTGTCCTTCCATAATATTTGGTGAAATCACAGGCCACAATGTCTGCACTGTGAGCACATGTTAAAACTTCGTCCAACATGTTTATTTTATTCCGTCAGTTTTACGTAATTACTCACGTCAGAATGACGCGAGTAAATGAACATGGAATTTAGCATTCCAATTACTGGGCAAGACAGCTCGATCTGGTCACCGAATGACCGTGCTGTCATTTACCAATTATATAATAATTATTGCAATTATATAATTACTTAATACGATCTCATTTCAGATGGGTTTGTCTCCCCACCTCCCACCCCCAAGTAACTGCAGTGAACCACCTCCCTCCAACAGTGTTCCCTCAATCATCACCTCCAGCATGCAAGTCATTTACAACGTGGACGAACCTCTGACCCGGGATGCGACACGCGACTACACGGACTACGCGACCAGCGACGAGGAAGGAATGCAATGAGATCGCGCACGTGCAGTGCGCGCATGATGTTTCCTGCACGTGCAGCTGATCAATAGAAACGAACAGTTGTGTTTAAGTTGAGATGGGTTGACATTGACATTAATTTGGGGTTGATATTTCAGACAAAGAGAGACAGATTACAGTAGCAGATCAGGTCACGTGGTCACGTGGTACTGTAAGAGGTCACGTGGTACTGTAAGAGGTCTACAATCAGAGTGTTTCTGAGAGGAACTGTAAAGTATAAAGTTGCGTGTTTTGAGTGAAATCCATGTTTCTAAACTTAGATTTCAGTCTAACCGTAGAGCTAAAGTCTGGACACCTTGCCTTGATCGGACACGTGACGTATTTTACTTTAACACTGGCTTGAATTTGCAGTGCAATTATTGGATATATCTCAAGGTGTTTGGAGTTCTAACTGACCAGAATATGTGAGGTATTTGCAACTTTGGCTCTCGAAATAAACTGCTGGAGGCTAATTAAGCCTAATCATTGCATTTCCCTACCCAATCAGCATTTTCTCACGTCCTCCTAGGCCCCCTGTTATATTTTTACCGCCTTCCTTAATTTAAATAACCTTATTGAATTTGATTTATAACGGAGATGATCAATGAAAGAAAGTATCGTGTGCATGGGCTAAAAGTTTGCAGTTTTAAGTGTTTTGTTTATTTATTTGATGAAATATATTAATTTATTTATGAAATGTTTTGAAAATTTCTGTTGATTTTAATCCATTATATATTTTACATTAAGGTTAGATAAATAGGCTTAACTAGACTGTCAGTAATTTCATGTAGGAATTTAAGTATTATTCTTCCTCGGTGACTGATAAGGGTTGCTTGGAAGTTTAATATTTAAAATCACGTATTCAATATTCGCTGAACAGCTTAAATATTTAATTCATATTACCAGCGCATAAATTTGGTTTGATTGTATGATACTTAACTAATCATAATAGCAGAGAATTTGATTCACGGTTGTATTATAGTATCTCAATTGAGGCATGACAAGCAATACTTTGGAGCTAAAAATCAAGATATTTTGTTAAATAAGTGTTTGTTTATTTATTAAAACATGATCGTTAGCATTAAATGCTGTAACTAATAAACTGATATAATTCGTTTTTGGAAATTTTGAGTTTCATTTTGTTAGAAAGAATTTGCAGCCGAACAGGTCGTACCCTATTAAATTTCAAATCTGTTAATTTGGTTAAATTTAATATCGGCTGTCAAATCCTCTATATCAGAGTGGTACTGGACGCCCTTAGTGTTATGGAATGTTACTCCAAATTCCATAACAGATCACCGCTTTCTGGAAACAACCTATTACCTATCTTATTTTATAACCGACAGAATATTCTGACGGAAATTAAGTAATTCTGACAATTGCACTGAAGAACCTGATTACAATACCCGATAAGAAACATCTGCAGAAAATTGACACATTATCTAATTAGAAATACAATATAAGTAACTTTTGTAATACAATTTGAAATAAAACTTCTAACCATAGAATGTAACACAGCACAATGCTCTGTACCGGACTAATGTACAGATCTATAAAACATATTGACACAGCTGCTGTACTGTAGGACAACTACTCAGCTCTGCAAACTATATCATGACCTGCAACTCGATATATATCGGAGTGCTAAAGTGCATATAGCTGGCAAATATCTCCTCAACTCTTTAGTACCTAACGTAATTTAAGTGTCATATTCGGAGGATTTCATGGAAAATATTCATCTGCTACTTGGTATGAATATTTGTAATATGACATTCATGATCTTCAGGGTGCTATCGATATTGTAACAAGAATTTATTCATAAATTAGCAAAGAAGTCATTTCTTGTAAACAAAGTCACACATCAAAATTAGCATAATTGTCAGGATTTAGCACAATTTTAGCATAATTGTCAGGATTTAAATTTACAAGAAATATAACAAACTGCTCTCTGGACAGCGTCCTTTAACCGCACTTGGGGCTTCTTGAATTTGGTTGTGAGTGTTTATTGTCTCTGAGTTTTTCTTGTTCCTTTAACGAATCTGACGATCTCTTTTTCACGTTCTCGCATGTCTACGGAATCTCAAGCTCCGATTTGAAGATGTTTCCAGTAAAGTTAACTTAAATAAGTTACTTTCTCACACATGTTCACACCTCAACAGTAGACTCAGTGTTCTTGCTCATAATAGAGAACTTCTTGTGTCCACCTCTCTTCGAGAACATTCTCACAAACTCAGCCCTCATAGCTGGAGTAGTCAGGAAGTAAGTTGCAGGAGAGAAACTAATTGCCGCCAACATCGCCACGTACATCAGATCCAGGGCCAGGTACTGTGAGATGGGCTTTTTGAGGTAGAGCTCCGGAGCGAAGATCTGAGGGATCCAGGTGAGGGTGGTGAGTGTGTTCAGAACCAGGATCATTAGTATGGACCAGGGGATTGCGTCTTGTCCTATCGCCTTTAGCTGTGACAGTTTCTCTCCGAGTGTGACTGGTTTGTAATCGTAATCCACCTTCCCACACTTCATCGACCCTTTGCATTTTCCCAGAGACTTTTCCTTCTTCTTGTGGTTTATGAGGAGGTTGACGATGAGCCCGTACACAATAAGTACCCCAGCAAATGGTAAAATGAATCCTACTGAGACAAGGATCCACCTGAATGCGGTACACTTGCATCCCTCTGTCTGCAGATGACACAATCCCCCATTAGAGAGATTATCATGTTCAATCCACACATTAGAACACAGACCCAGTAAAGGTAGACATGTCACCAGGGTGATGAGACACACCAACACCACAATCCCTGTCACCTGCACTCTGAGATTCAGGAGCTTCTTGTACTTGGTCGGGTAGGCTACACACAGCCACCTCGCTATTGAAACCAGGAGTATACCATACCCGGGCAGGATCACAGCTACATACTCCACAGTGTTCACAGCATCACAGTAACCCTCCAGTGGAACTATAGCCTGCAGTACTGCCGAGGTTGTCAGGACAACGAACAGGAATAGTTGGCTCGCTGAGTAGAAGATCAGAGACAGATACAACCTTATCAAGTGTCTGAAGTGTCTTAATATTAAGTAAAGCAGGATGGCTGTTGTTACCAAGAGAATTGCACAGAAGGGCCCGTACATTATCTTGGATAGTTCCATACCATTCTTGATACTCGGTGGAACAACAAATGAGTCGGTATCATTAGTTTCGGTACCCATTGTACCCTCACTGAAAGGGGTCGTCACGGCTGATGTTCTGATCATATCCGGAGTTGACTCCTGCATGCCGACGGATGCTCCCTCCACTTTGAGGTCGCCTTCTGGCTCCGTGGTGAGTCTGGTGGTGAAGGAGGAGGTTGAGTTGTACCATGAGGACGAAGTGGTCCAGTACTGCGTGGTGGGGAAATCGAACTTCAGGGTGTTTTCGTTCATGGGTCCTTTAAAGGATAGAGATATGTTATTTCCTTGTTGTTAGAACAAATATCAATAATACAATCTAGGAAAAATGTGCAGTAGCACCTTTAACACATACTGACATACTCGGACAGAAAACTTGGCAATAACATTTTACCCTTCGGCTTTTGACATTATAAACTGAAACGCCATTAGATAAATTGCCGAAACAAACAGTCAAACATGCTCAACTATTGGTCAAGAACACAAAGCAAAGAACTACAGAGCTATGTCGTGATAAGCTATGTGGTAAGGTCACGCGAGCTCTACGTCAACAAGTTATAAAACTCAAGCTACTGAAAAAATGTTACATATTATCCGCAGTAGAGACGGGCCGATACTCGATAGCTAGATTGCGGAACCGATTTAGAGAATTACTGGCCAAAGGGAGTGTAATACCAAGATTTAGGAGATTTCATTCTTTGCTTATATAAAATATGATATAAATCGAATAAAGTCCCTTCACTGAGTGAGCTTTAAAATTATCCGACTTATTCTTAATCGATGTGGATAGAGAAGCACTCAACAAATTAAGTAACGGCAAATGTGGATAACCAACGAGGAAAAGTTAGGGTGGATAAGCGGGGAGATACCAGATAGTCACGTCTACAAAACATACGACACACGAGCAACATGTCACAATAATTACATGATCTAGCTCTATTCCGCACCTTGACATAAAGTGACGAAAAGTCCATTATTAGTAACCCGAGATGATGTCGTACTATTAGATCAACTCTGACTTCAGGGGTGGTACCAGGTATTCATGTTTCCGAGAACACATTATGATCACGTAGCGGTATACCATTGACTTTAACTCGGCTGGGATTTAGGCCCATTAATAAGCTTCTTAGCACAGAGTTAATGCGTCTGCTACGACTTTAAAGAATTGAATTAGATATTAAAAGCAAAATAATATTCAGATTATAATGGAACGTCCTACGACCAGCTATAAGGAACTAGAATACCGATAAGGTATGTAGGGTTTCTAACAACAAATCAAACAATGATTATTTTTGTGACAAATTGAAGGACATGAGGGAAAATTATATTTTTGACAAATTACTAAAACGAGGCCAAGTGTAAAAAGTGTAAGTGTGAGGGCTCTGCCTACAACCAACGTAAAGAACTGTACCTTCGTATTAAGCCTGCCTACAACGAAGAAAACTACTGTGTTTAAGTTTTAACAAAGCTCTGAAATGTGGCGACAACGCATGCTCTGTAAATTGAGCCAGACTTGCAAATTTGGGCATGTTTAAGTGGAGCTAATTCAGTGACAATTACTTAATCTCTGTGTTATAAACTCCTTTATAAACTCCTCTTATGGTATTTGTTCTTCTAACGGAAAGGAAACTGATAGAGGATTTGCAGCACAGATCTGTCAGGTCCGATTGTAAACAGAAAATAATGCCGAGAACAAAAAATAAGGTCATCTAATTCTAAGTGTACAAACAGAACTGAGTTCGCCGCAAAACTAAGATTAACAGTGTATGCTACTACAACAAGCTCCTCTGCGGTTACAGCAATTAAATATCCGTAGCTGATGAAAAGAGGGGATAATAATAGTATTATTCTAATAATAGTACGTTATAGTAATAATATAGTATATAATATAGTATATAATAGTACTGTAATAATTGTGAGAAAAGCGAACCTTCCCAGCTCAGCTCCGGTCCATGTAGGTACGGCTAACACTCCCAAAGCAAAAGAACTGTCAGCAGCTAAAAGTAATAACTTGGTCTCTGTTTGAAATGTGGCTGCGAATATGGAGCCCTGCATGCATCGTGAGGACAGGTAGCAATGAATTATGATATAATTGTTGTACATGTTAGTGTGGCGACCGGTACCGCGTTGCAATGTGGGAGGGGGTTCATGAAAAGAAGATTAGCATGGAGTGTGGTGCAACAGAGTTTAAACAGAGTTTGGAGAGATTTAAAACCCATTATCATTTATAATATGCATACAGTTTGACAATATGAAAATATTAGATGAGTACGTTACACCATGACAATGATAGTAGAGACTAGAGATTGAGGTACACAATGAAAATGTCAGTAGAGAGTGCGGTACACCATGAAAATGTCAGTTGAGAGTGCGGTACACCATGAAAATGTCAGTAGAGAGTGCGGTACACCATGAAAATGTCAGTAGAGAGTGCGGTACAACATGAAAATGTCAGTAGAGAGTGCGGTACACCATGAAAATGTCAGTAGAGAGTGCGGTACAACATGAAAATGTCAGTAGAGAGTGCGGTACACCATGAAAATGTCAGTAGAGAGTGCGGTACAACATGAAAATGTCAGTAGAGAGTGCGGTACAACATGAAAATGTCAGTAGAGAGTGCGGTACACCATGAAAATTTCAGTAGAGAGTGCGGTACACCATGAAAATGTCAGTAGAGAGTGCGGTACAACATGAAAATGTCAGTAGAGAGTGCGGTACACCATGAAAATGTCAGTAGAGAGTGCGGTACACCATGAAAATGTCAGTAGAGAGTGCGGTACAACATGAAAATGTCAGTAGAGAGTGCGGTACACAATGAAAATGTCAGTAGAGAGTGCTGTACACCATGAAAATGTCAGTTGAGAGTGCGGTACACCATGACAAATGACAATGTCAGTAGAGAGTGCGGTACACCATGAAAATGTCAGTAGAGAGTGCGGTACACCATGACAAATGACAATGTCAGTAGAGAGTGCGGTACAACATGAAAATGTCAGTAGAGAGTGCGGTACACCATGAAAATGTCAGTAGAGAGTGCGGTACAACATGAAAATGTCAGTAGAGAGTGCGGTACACCATGACAAATGACAATGTCAGTAGAGAGTGCTGTACACCATGAAAATGTCAGTTGAGAGTGCGGTACACCATGACAAATGAAAATGTCAGTTGAGAGTGCGGTACAACATGAAAATGTCAGTAGAGAGTGCGGTACACAATGAAAATGTCAGTAGAGAGTGCGGTACACAATGAAAATGTCAGTAGAGAGTGCGGTACACAATGAAAATGTCAGTAGAGAGTGCGGTACACCATGAAAATGTCAGTAGAGAGTGCGGTACACAATGAAAATGTCAGTAGAGAGTGCGGTACACCATGAAAATGTCAGTAGAGAGTGCGGTACACAATGAAAATGTCAGTAGAGAGTGCGGTACACCATGAAAATGTCAGTAGAGAGTGCGGTACAACATGAAAATGTCAGTAGAGAGTGCGGTACACCATGAAAATGTCAGTAGAGAGTGCGGTACACAATGAAAATGTCAGTAGAGAGTGCGGTACACCATGAAAATGTCAGTAGAGAGTGCGGTACACAATGAAAATGTCAGTAGAGAGTGCGGTACACCATGAAAATGTCAGTAGAGAGTGCGGTACACAATGAAAATGTCAGTAGAGAGTGCGGTACACAATGAAAATGTCAGTAGAGAGTGCGGTACACCATGAAAATGTCAGTAGAGAGTGCGGTACACCATGAAAATGTCAGTAGAGAGTGCGGTACACCATGAAAATGTCAGTTGAGAGTGCGGTACAACATGAAAATGTCAGTAGAGAGTGCGGTACACCATGAAAATGTCAGTAGAGAGTGCGGTACACCATGAAAATGTCAGTAGAGAGTGCGGTACAACATGAAAATGTCAGTAGAAAGTGCGGTACACCATGAAAATGTCAGTAGAGAGTGCGATACAACATGAAAATGTCAGTAGAGAGTGCTGTACACCATGAAAATGTCAGTAGAGAGTGCGGTACACCATGAAAATGTCAGTAGAGAGTGCGGTACATCATGAAAATGTCAGTAGAGAGTGCGGTACAACATGAAAATGTCAGTAGAGAGTGCGGTACACCATGAAAATGTCAGTAGAGAGTGCGGTACACCATGAAAATGTCAGTAGAGAGTGCGGTACACCATGAAAATGTCAGTAGAGAGTGCGGTACATCATGAAAATGTCAGTAGAGAGTGTGGTACAACATGACAATGTCAGTAGAGAGTGCTGTACAACATGAAAATGTCAGTAGAGAGTGCGGTACACCATGAAAATGTCAGTAGAGAGTGCGGTACAACATGAAAATGTCAGTTGAGAGTGCGGTACACCATGAAAATGTCAGTAGAGAGTGTGGTACAACATGAAAATGTCAGTAGAGAGTGCGGTACACCATGAAAATGTCAGTAGAGAGTGCGGTACACCATGAAAATGTCAGTAGAGAGTGCGGTACAACATGAAAATGTCAGTTGAGAGTGCTGTACAACATGAAAATGTCAGTAGAGAGTGCGGTACAACATGAAAATGTCAGTAGAGAGTGCGGTACACCATGAAAATGTCAGTTGAGAGTGCGGTACAACATGAAAATGTCAGTTGAGAGTGCGGTACACCATGAAAATGTCAGTTGAGAGTGTGGTACAACATGAAAATGTCAGTAGAGAGTGCGGTACACCATGAAAATGTCAGTAGAGAGTGCGGTACACCATGAAAATGTCAGTAGAGAGTGCGGTACAACATGAAAATGTCAGTAGAGAGTGCTGTACAACATGAAAATGTCAGTAGAGAGTGCGGTACAACATGAAAATGCCAGTAGAGAGTGCGATACAACATGAAAATGCCAGTAGAGAGTGCGGTACAACATGAAAATGTCAGTTGAGAGTGCGGTACAACATGAAAATGTCAGTAGAGAGTGCGGTACAACATGAAAATGTCAGTAGAGAGTGCTGTACAACATGAAAATGTCAGTAGAGAGTGCGGTACAACATGAAAATGCCAGTAGAGAGTGCGATACAACATGAAAATGCCAGTAGAGAGTGCGGTACAACATGAAAATGTCAGTTGAGAGTGCGGTACAACATGAAAATGTCAGTAGAGAGTGCTGTACAACATGAAAATGTCAGTTGAGAGTGCGGTACAACATGAAAATGCCAGTAGAGAGTGCGATACAACATGAAAATGCCAGTAGAGAGTGCGGTACAACATGAAAATGTCAGTTGAGAGTGCGGTACAAC